CATATCATACGCAATTGTATTGATACTAAATTGTGGAATAAATTTGAAGTGTTTGTTAAAATGTCAAAGTACTACTTTGTTTGCCAATCAGCACGCGACAATACGCTGTTCAAACTATTGAACGAAATTGTGTGGACTGTCGATAAGGCGGTCATTTTTAATTTTAATTATGAATTATAAGTTAAAAAAGAACATAAGAGGCAGAGAAAACGTAAATATAAGTATTGAACTGTTTTTGTATGATATTTATGATCTATTTGAATGACACAGCTTTGCAAGCAAACAAATCATAATGCACTAGCGCGCATTATGTTGTTTGCTTGCAAAGCTGTGTCATTCAAATAGATCATAAATATCATACAAAAACAGTTCAATGCTTAAATCATACACATCAGATGACGTAAAGCACATCTAAAAGGACGTCAAACATATCGCAACATACGACGTATACATCACAAAGGATTAACACACAGCACCGATAACGGCGTACACATCACCAAGGAAGTCATACACACATCAGAAAGGACGTCATACAAATCACCAAAGGACGTCATACACATCACAAAGGATGTCATACACATCACAAATGACGTCATACACATCACAAAGGACGTCATACACATCACCAAGGACGTCATACCCATCACCAAGGACGTCATACACATCACCAAGGACGTCATACACATTGCAAAGGACGTCATACACATCACCAGGGACGTCGTGCACATCACCAAGGACGTCATACCCATAACCAAGGACGTCATACACATCACCAGGGACGTCATACCCATCACCAAGGACGTCATACACATCACAAATGACGTGATACACATCACAAAGGACGTCATCCACATCACCAAGGACGTCATCCCCATCCCCAAGGACGTCATACACATCACAAAGGACTACACCCACCTCGCAACAGACGTCACATAACACAAATGACGTCATACACACCACGAAGGACGTCATACACATCACCAAAGACGTCATACAAATCACCAAGGACGTCGCGCACATCACCAAGGACGTCATACACATCACAAAGGACGTCATACACATCACCAAGGACGTCATACACATTGCAAAGGACGTCATACACATCACCAATGACGTCATACACATCACCAATGACGTCATACACATCACCAAGGACGTCATACACATCACCAAAGACGTCATACAAATCACCAAGGACGTCGTGCACATCACCAAGGACGTCATACACATCACAAAGGACTTCATCCACTTCGCAACAGACGTCATATAACACAAAGGACGTCATACACATCACCAAGGACGTCATACATATCACAAAGGACTTCATCCACTTCGCACATATTTAAAGTTGCAATATTAATTTCCCCAATTTACAGAGCACCACACTCCACTGAAATGTACATAACCAAGTAACGCAGCGACTCACTTTTGTAGTAAGAAATGGTAGCAGGTCCAAAACAATACCTGTTCGGAAAGATAAATGAGTTTGAAAAGTTGAGGGACGAGGACAGCCAAAGAGGACAATAATCAAAAATGTCTTCCAAACCACATGGAAGTGGCTATAGATTTCTTCATGAAGGCGAGTTGGCGAACCGAATGAGTACCTGTTGCATGCGTGAGCCGATTTGTCCCAGCGTAATGTGTGCATTAATGATTTCCAAACCCCTTCACTTTTTCCTATTTTTGTACATGATAATGACATTAACACTGTTTATGTGTATCTGTCAGCTTCATCTTATAACACCAATCCGCCTATTCCAATTACCTCCCAGTTCCTACGTACCTCCTGGTCGGGATGAAAATAAAATGACTGCACGGATTGGTTTGGACTGTTTATTTTTGATACCTTTATATTTCCTGACGTTTAATTAGTGGTAATTTCGTACCCGAGTACATGTATAAGAAATATAAAATCGACAAGCGAGTGCTATGCAGTATGCTGTTCGTTTTGTGGCTTATTTTAACGGCACGTAACTGGTATATACTTGTGTTCTACAATAACAGAACACACCACAGCCCTACAACCTAGTGCCAATCTAAAGTATGTACTCATTAACGTAAACAATGGGCATACCAAAGGTGAACTAATGGGAAACAGTCTCGCGGTGGTCGCCGTGCATAACTGATATCTTGGTAATTAAGATAAATTCTGGGGCGAGATTCAAACAGAACTCGGTAAAAAGCATTCTCGAAACACATTATTTTGCAAGCCTTTCCCGTTTATTGTGACATCACTTATAGTTCCAACAATAGCACGAAACGTATGATCTTAAAATCAATCTACAAACGTACATTATATTACAAACCTTCATCACACGCATTCATTACATGCGTACAACAAACACACGTATTTACAATTAATGAGAGATACCAGCCTCCTCGCTGTGTAGCGGCGATAAACTCGCCTCATTACTCCGGGATCCCTACATACAATACCCCATAAATACATTTCATGTTTTATGTAAAAATAGCAGTGTAAACCTGACTTCTCTTGCACACGCTTTCTCCCATATATATTATCATGTACATACAGATTTAGGTTAAAAATAGCAACCGAGATAAGTTACGTTATCAACAACAAAATCATAATGACGTAGACAAAAACACTTCTCCATTTAAATAAAATTATACTTTTCCTGAGCAATTATTCCACAGTCAGATTTCCCTCACGTATGCAGGATAAGATTTGTAATCGTGGGCCTTCACTTTGTTAACGATTTACCTCCAAGTACTAAATAAAATGGTCTGAGATTCGTCAAACTCTTACTTGCTATTAAAGTTCGAGTAATAGCCTGGTCACAACTCGAGATCAAGTCTAAGGCAAGGGTGGCCATGTTTTGTCCGATACTATATGGTTTAGCCTGCTGTACGGTTTTACCTGTCGTCTGTGGTAGTGGGTAGCAGAGCTAGATGTTAGGAGTTTCATAATACTATTTCTTACTGTTTATATCTAATGGTTTGTGAGTAAGTGTTTTAGCGATTGTGAACTTTCATAATAGCGAGGTTTAACTCCCAAAATGAAACTAATGACAGATTCACCTGAATCGAAACCCTTCCTATATCGGTGACATTTAGTATACTACGAGCGACGGAAGTCGTGACGAAGGAAGGGTTCCCGGTATCACTCTATCTTGACCATCGGTTTGTTTTTCTTCTTCTGTTTGTTGTTGTTGTCGCTGTGCGTTATTTGGGTACCCCCGTTCATAACACTGCGCACAGCACTCACCTGTCCGTCATTTATTTGTGTGACGGCAGTGGAGGGTCGCTGCCAGATGTTTTTCAACACAATATACAAAAAACTGACCACACATATTACAATTTTACGGAATGTCAACCAGATATTCGTCAGTTTGGTCGTCACCACTGTCTGTAAGTACAGCTCTGCCTGTATCCGACTGTACATTTCCGTTGTTAACAAACGGACGATGCTGATATCCTTAGCAACGTCCACAGGTAATTCTAGCTGCTTCGTCAACGAAAATACATCAGCTCCGAACACAAGTAACAGACTTGAGATCTGTAAGAACCCACACGCGGACGCCGTGTGTAGGGCACTGAATCCGTGTACGTCCTTAGCGTTCACGTCCGAGTTACAACACAGTAACATCTTTACTGCGTCCAGATTGTTGCTTAGAACAGCGTGATGGAGGGCAGTTAATCCGACGTGATTCGTCTGATTGATATTAAACTCCCCTCTCTGGTTGTGTAAAATCCGACACAGTTCACACACGTCACCATCCTGGATGACAGCACTGAGAACAGAGTCCGCTGGGAAGGTAATCTTCCGGTTGTTTCCACCGGGCATGTTGACTAATTAGTCGGGGTGTTTACTCCTTTCAGTCGGTTTAAGTATTTTGTCTTTAATATGTTTCATTAATTCGTCATAATATCCTTTGATACAGAACAACAATTGAGATATGAAATTAGACCCTGTAACTCCCGAGGTGCTGGCCTTTCTATATGAGCGACGTCTCCTCGTTGCTTCACCTCCTGAATGACCGTGTTTTATTAACACACTTGTGCTCTAATTTCATCTATATGCCTTTTTCCGCTGATGAGTATCCGTAAGTTAATCAACATCTCTCGTCAAGCCACGAGGATCCGCTTAATTAACAGTACACTGCCGTTTACACAAGACCGTCCATAGACACACGCCGAACTCGTGTTTTCATTAGAAACTGCAGCTCTTAACAATCCTAATCACAGGTCAAGCATAGCAGACAACGATCGAAGAAGTCTCCTCCTCAATCAGGAATTGGCAGACGACATATTTCCTTGTGGATAACTTTCCAACAAACCAGTCTGTCAGAATGGATCCCTGATTATCTCTATCCAGCAGACGGCCTGATACACAACACTCATCTGCACGTAATCGGCTGCTTTGCACAGTGGTTTGACCTTTAACCCCCTGCAATGTACATCTCTTGAGGAAGTGCGTACAATTTTACTCACTTTAAAGGTATACGTAGGCCCTGACCAGGCAAAAAGTCTGAAAACTCATGTTCTTACATGCTAGTAGCTCATAAATAATTACGATCACTGCAGTCTCGCTGCAGAATAAATTGTGTAGGTTTGTTTCTTACAGGCTGTTGAAATCTCTCGTGTTCATACTTAACAGAGGTGCGTTATTCACAGAGTGTAAATTTATAAAGATATGACTTAGCACAATCTTACAACTATCAGCGTCCCGTGCTGCCATTCGATATCCAGACCGGTTCTTTTACGTTACATGTAACTTGATGGCAGCCTTCAGCTTGTGTACATATGCAGCAGGTTCGCAGGAAAATCTTTCAGACCTTATCTGGACGTACTGTGAACTCCGGACACACGATCTGGTCAGCTCTGAAAATAAATAAAAACATAGAGGGTAACCTTATTACTATATATTTCATGAGTGTTAATCAATATAGTTGGTGTACATTGAATGAACGTGTACATATTTTATATATAGAATCAATGACACTGGAATAACACAATTATTTCTTATCGGGTAACTGTCCAGGGTCAGTCACGACCATAGAAACTAGCCAAAATACCCTCTCCCGGAGTACCCGGAGGTTACCAACTACCTTTCCAAGTCCGATCGGGAAATCAAACCCCGGCCGCCTTGTTGAAAGACAAGTGCACTATCCACTGCACAACCCGACCACCCCTAAATAGCCAGACACTGGATACTAGTCTGAGCACTGGACACCAACCTAGATACTGGACATTAGTCTGGACACTGAACAGTAAACACAACACTTGGCATTGGCCTTATATTGGACATTAGTCTGGACAGTTAACTGGACACGAGGCATTTAGCCAGGCCTTAGACAAAATATCCTAGCCAGACCCTGGGCACTGTAAAGCCTGGACACTTGATAACAGTCAGAGACGAAGAACAGGGAACTTGACATAGATTGTACATTTGACACCTGACTGAAAACTGGACATTAGTCAGACACTACACACTAGTCTGACGATGGGCACTAGTCTGACACTGGCCACTAGGCTCTTGACTGAATATTTGACACCGGCCTGCACAACACACTGGACTGACTGACAAAGGAAATTAGTCTGACCTTGGAAACTAGCTTGGGCACTGGACAGAAGACTCGATATTTGACACCAGCCTGAAACTACACACTGGTCTGACACTGGACACTAGCCTGGGCACTAGAAAAATACTGGATATTTTACGTCGGTATGACACTACACACTGGACTGACAGACAATGGACGATTTCCTGGACCTAGTCTTGATACAGATCACATGACACTAAGAGTCATAGGAATGGACAGTAGACAAACTTGACACAAGCCAGAACACTAGACACCACCGTTACTCTGGACACATTTGTCAAACTGGACACTATCCTTGACACTGAATATTAGCATTAAGCTGTATACTAGCCTGGACACTGAACAATTAGAGTTAAACTATATACGAACCTGGACACTGAACAATTAGAGTTAAACTATATACGAACCTTGACACTGAACATTAACATTAACATGTATACTAACCTGAACACTGAACATTAACATTAACCTGTATACTTACCTGGACACTGAATATTAACCTGTATACTAACCTGGACACTGAACATTAGAGTTAAACTATATACGAACCTTGACACTGAACATTAACATTAACATGTATACTAACCTGAACACTGAACATTAACATTAACATGTATACT